TTTATATGTCAATTTGCAAGTTATAGGCGCTGGCGATAGTGTACTGAAATTGAATGTTGGTGGAATGTCTTTTCGTATCCGCATGACCAGTTTGTTTTCCCGAACAGAAGAGGAGAAGCTGGTAACGTTCGCTCAGATGGATCATGAAAAGCGGATGCGTTCATGTGATGCATATATTGTTGTGAGTAAGCCTGTATGACGTAAGAGATGTTGCTATCGTAAGCTAATGTAAACGTTTTGCATAAAATTCTTATCCCTACTACGATCTTGATTCAATTGCTCCAGGATGCTGAGGAATATTACTTCGAACGATCCTCAATACTCTTTGACGCTGTGTTCAAGTACTATGCAACTGGGCAATTGCATCGGCCTCTTGATGTTTGCCCCCAGGAATTCGCCAACGAGTTGTCGTATTGGAAAATTCCAGAAGCTGTTATGTCAACGTGCTGTTGGCGAGGTTATAATCAATTGTGAGTTCATCGTATTGTATTCTCACCCTGACACTCGACCAATAATCTTAAAAGCAGGAATCCAAAAATCTCCTGCAAATATCAAAAAATCGATTTAATTGAGGCTGTTTTAAGCTATTTAAAAATTGCATGAATTATCAAATCGCATTAATAATCGCATTAAACCAAGCAAAATCTTAGCCTTTAGAGGAAGTCCCTCCGAAACCTCGTCAATAAAGTAAGTAGATTGTGAAAGACCCTAGCAATTCTCAGTTGAAGACCTAATTTATTTGTCCCCATGTTGTGACAGTGAACCTCACATTTTGACCACTGTACATTTACTTTTGGGATTTATTTGTAATTTATCGCTGTCACAGTTTCAGAAGCGCCTCCATTGAAGAGCTAACTCACAAGAAGGATAAAAGTTTGGAAATGAGGGATCGATCACTTCGCAGTCGAATACATCACTTTTGTGAAGGCGATGGATCTTTGTTGTCTACACTTTTCACATTTGGCAGCATCTCTTTTGTATTAATATCCGTGATCGGGCTTATTTTGGGATCAA